AACTTCTGCTGGAAGAAGTTTGGTGCCATCTTCTGATTCTGGTATGAATATTCTCTTCCTTCTTTAGTTCCTTTTGTTGAAGAAAACAAATTTAAATTGCTGGAGTCTTGTTGTGAGGAAGAGGGAGAATTGGAAAAATCTGAAATGGTGGATGTGGTTAGGGGTGAGGTGGAGGAGGGAGAAGTGGAGAAATCAGATGTTTTCAACTTAATGCTGGACTTTTCAGTTGAGAAAACAGAAAAAGATGTTGTTGGTGATAATAAAGTGGAAGTTGTTGGTGGTATGGAGAATGGCGGAATAGGAAGTTTTAAGCCCAAACTTCAGAAGGAACTAAGGTCCCTTGGCCCTTTGAATTCTTCCTCCAGGCACAAGAAGGTAGAGGGTTTGATTAAAAAAAGGGGCGGGGTCCTTCCCCCATGGTGGACAAATGAGTTCTATTGACTTTTGGAATTGTAGAGGGACTAATAAAGAGGAAGTCTCTCTTTATTTGAAGGAATTTGTTAGAGACTGTGATGTCTTCTTTGTTGGAATTGTTGAAATTAAAATTGCCACTCCATTGATAAATGTGAGGTCAATAAAGTGATGGGAAATAATTGGGATTTTTTTTTGTTCCATCTGAAGGTTTGTTAGGTGGTATATTGGCGCTATGGAAGTCGGACTTGGCTTCCTTTTCTGTTATTGAATCTTCATCCCAATGTGTGATTGAGGATTTGGAGATAGTGAATAAAGGCAGTTGGTTGGGTTCTACAGTTTATGGCATTAAAGACGTGTATAAAAGGAGGATGTTATAGGAGTGCTTGGAGAGGTAATCTAGATTGGAACTTCCTTCGATAATAGGAGGAGATTTCAATTGTATCTTGTCTTAAGAGGAGAAGAGGGGTGGTAAGAAGTTTTCTTTTTTTTTAGGTCCTCAAGAGATGCAATCATTTATGAATCATAATGATTTTCATGATGTAGGGTTGGTTGGACCAAAGTACACTTGGTGTAATAATAAATGTGATAGTGCGCGTATTTTGGAGAGGCTTGATAGTTGTCTTTTGAATTCCAAAGCTATGGATGTGATTCAACAGGCTTCGATTCGTCATTTGGCTAGGATTGCATCGGATCACTGCCCTATTGTTTTGAAAATTTTCAATGTGCAGACTTGCAAAAACAGAGGTTTTCGGTTTGAGGATGTATGGATTTCATATCCGGCTTCATTTGCAGTTGTGATCAAGTCATGGAGTAAATCTGCTGGTGGGGATGCAATGGAGGTTCTTAACAAAAAATTTCTTAGAGTCATGAGGGCTTTACACTTTTGAAGCATAGCCAAACTCAAGAACTTAGTAGATTTGAAGGAGTTATTGAAAAAAGAAATAGCAGAACTTCAATTGGAGGAGGCAAACGGTAATGGGTTTTCAGAAGATAGTCTTCAGTTGCTGAGATCAAAGATCAGTGAGCTGAACGTCACTCTTGTCCGGTTGAGCACGTGGTGGAGACAAAGAGCAATGGTTAAGTGGGCAAAAGAAGGTGATATTAATTCCAAAATTTTCCATTCTTATGCTAATGGTAGGAGAAATTGATGTAGGCAAGCTTTGGGCTGCTTGCTACCTCTTGGTTCTTGTCCTTGGGCTGCTTGTTGTTCTCGATTTAGGGCCTTGGCTGCTCTCGGGTGGGCTTTGGCTGCTTGGTTTTGAGCTAAAAAAGTTGGGTTCTACTTAGTTTTTAGCTCATTAATTTTTGAGCTAATTGGTAGCTCATTAGTATTATGGAGCTTGCTCTTCCCCTTTCCCTTTGTCTTCTCGGTTTTCCCCTGGCTGTTGCTGTTCTCGTGAAAAGGTGATGGGGTTCTGCCCCCTTTTTCCCTGGCCTCATCGGTTTCTGCTAGTGCCACCCCTTGTATTCTGCATTGGGATGAACTTGGCTGATATTTGGGATGCCTTTTCAGCTACTGTTTGGCCTGTCTCTTGGCCTTCTATTTTCCTCTTTTTCATTGGTTTGAAAAGAGGTGGGTGACTGTTTGGTTTCCCCCTTTCTTCCTATATATGGGGGCTGATTTGAGGCTTGAAGGGGTTGTTATAATGCTATTTTTGGGAGTCTAAACCTGCGGGTTTCGTCGTGGAAAAGCTCGAGAGCTTGTTCCACCTCTTCCTCTTCTCCTCTCTATAGCTTGCGAGCTATGTTTCGTCTCTACTTCTAATCTCATTCTTCTTCCCGCAAGTATCCACCCCATCAATATCTTTGTTCTCGACGATTGGCAAGCAAGTTTAGGTTTTTGTTTTTATTTCATGTGTTTGTAAGCGTCAAAAGTTGTAAGTGTCGTTCTATATTATAAAAGTGAAGTTGTTTTTGGTTTATTTGTTGTATTTTGTCTAGTTTGTTTAATTTTTGTGTCATTTTATTATTCTAGGAAGTTTATCTTTTGCTTGCAAAAAATTAGGGGTTCTCCTAAATTTTTGCTTGCATCAGAAATGCTAATTTCATTTTCCAAGTTAAGAATGATAATCGTAGTCTTAAGGAAGATCAATTGGACATTGAATAAATTTTCCTTAATTTCTTTAATAACAAATGGAGGTATCAGGAGTGTGATCTCAGAGGTTGGCCTTCAGCTTTGAATACATTAAGTTCCGATTTCTTTAATTTCTTAAATGCTGATTTTTTTATTGAAGAAGTTTAATATGTTGTTAAGGAACTTGGAGGGAACATTTCTCCAGGTTTTGATGGTATTACATATTCCTTTTTGAAAGCTTATTGGAAGGTCATTAGGGAAGATGTGTGGAATGCTATACGACAATTTTTATTAACGGGTAAGATGTGTTCCAAATGGAAGGAGACTTTAGTTGTCCTTATTCCCAAAATAAATAATCCCTTGAGTCCAGCTAATTTTCGGCCCATCAGTTTTTGTTTATCGATTTACAAAATTGTTGCGAAGATGTTATTAAATAGATTGACAAAGGTTATGAGTTCTTTGATTTATGACGTGCAAGTTGCATTTATTAAAGGAAGGACTTTGTCAGATCATATTCTTCTTGCTCAAGAGCTCTTTTACAAATTCAGACATTCGAAGTCAAAAAAAGGATTGGTGGCTATTAAAGTTGATATGGAACAAGCTTATGACAGTATGTCATGGGATACTCTAAGGCATGTATTGGAGTATTTTTGGATTTCCTACTATGTTTTCTCAGCTTGTGATGGAATGTGTAGAAGACCCGAAGTTTTCAATTTTGATTAATGGTAAAAAATAAAAATGGATTGAGGCTAAAAGTGGATTTAGGCAAGGATGCCCGCTATCTCCATATCTTTTTATACTATGCTCTCAACTATTGTCTAATGCTTTCCATCAGAAAGGAAAGAAGTTTTTGTTTTGATAATGCTTAAAAATATGTCATTTACCCTTTGCTCAGTTTTTATTGAAAATAGTATTATACATCAATCATGCTACCCTTATAAATCCTCACAAAATGGTGCAATTGAACATAAGCACCAACTCCTTGATGTTAATTTTGGGGAGTTTATATTATAATAATCCGCTTCTTAGTTAACAGTGTCTTCTTGCGCTTTGATTTGATATTTTTTTCCTTATTTGTCTTAATAAGCCTATTTTTTCCCGGATTAATATTTTTTATTGTGTTTGTTTAACCCGTTCACTTTATCCTGGCTGTGATAAACTTTATTGTTTTGCCATTAAATGTATCTTCCTAGGTTATTCTCCTACTCAAAAAGATATTATTTATGATCCATGTGCTAAATACCTTCATGTTTATGTTGAAATCACCTTCAATGAAGAATCATTGTTGCCTTCTGTCTTCTCCACTATATTTTCTCTAGTGTTCCACTTTCATCTCTGGCTTTACTGCCTACTCTTTTTCTACCTTTTTAATGAAGAATCATTGTTTCCCTCCTGTCTTCTCTACTAAATTTTCTATAGTATTCTACTTCCATCTTTTGCTTTAGTGCATATTCTTTCTCCACCACAACTTTATACTTTTCGCTCTTGTATGCCTTCTTTGAACGCATCTCCTTCTATCCCACCTATTATGGTTGGGCATCCATCTACATATGAAATCTTATGCATCCATCTTATAGTTTCTCTTTGAAAATGTACACAACACTAATAGCTTCTTGATATAGTCTTGTACATCATTTGAGCATTTATCATTTTTTTCATCATTGTCTTCTCCCTCTTTGTTATCCCTATTCCCAGGACATATTAAGAAGCATTACATATAGAGTGAAACTTTTCTAGTTTTTTACTCGGAGTCAGGTTCTCTCTTTGTGGAGTTTATTTATAAAGTGGATTAGAATTTATCCTTCGCCCTGATTCCCTATAAATCGGGCTTAATTTCCTTCAATAAAATCAGCATGAAAATTCTGCCAAAATTCCTCTTTTTTTGGTTCTTTCTACTCTGTTCCAAGATGCCGGCACCTGCATATGGCATAAAAGCCAAGATCCTGCCGCTGGCCTTGCCCTGAAGTCTACCCGGGCACTGCTCCTATTGTCGGTCCCTTGCGGCTAAATACCCTTTGCTGGCTGCCCCTGATATTTTCTTGCTGATTCCAGAGCCAACCAATAGGATGAGAGGTTAAATACAGCAAGGGGATTATTGTCTTGGAACAGAGTCATAATTCAGAAGAGAAGAAGTGATTTGATCTGAAACTAGAACAAAATAACAAGGAAAAGTGTTTTACAATAAGAAAACTAAACTTAAGATGCTTCTAATTTGATTGATAAATCATAAGGATCTCTCTTAAAAGAATTCCTGGTACGTTTTCTATCCATTTTTGTCTCTGATTGCGGCCTTACACTGAGAGGTTGACTGAAGAATTGGGATTTGTTTTTAAGGTTTGTTGATTATCATTTTAGGCACACAAATATTGATTTCTTGTTTGTCATTCACTTCCTTTCATTCAATTAAGGACTGCTTGATTCACTTAGATAATTCACTGAACACAATTTACTTAATTGCCTTCCTGTTTGGCAATTCAAAGAATTACTTAAATGTTAATCCTGTTATTTGCAGATCAAATGAAGGTCCAGCTTCTGCTTGTATGAAAGTTCTTCGTTCTGTGGTACGAGAAGGAAATCATTGCTCCCATGATAGTGGTGCTGGCGTTTTACTCGTGCAGGCTGAAACTCTGCAGGTTTGTGTCATTCTAATCCCAAAAATTTTCACTGTTCAATGTGATCCCTAAACTCAGCAATTTTAAAGCATATTAATCATATTCAACTTTTGTCCTATTTTCTACAAATTTAAATGGGATTAATCTTAAAAAGTAAAAATGCTATCATGAAAAGCTTTCCTTATCCGTTTTGTTTAAATTTGATGAGTTAAGTGGGACTAAATTGACACCCAAAAGTTTTGGAATAAAATGAACCAACTTAAAAAAAAAAAAATCCTGGAACCATATTGATCATTTGCTCATGATTTTATGGAACTAAACATCTTTTAGGCTACAGAAAGTTCACCTCGACTGAAAGCTGTAGAGATGGTTGCAGCTTACACGTCTTCATCTTTTGGCGTTGGTTACTTCGGGAGCTCTATGGATCATCCAAAGGTATCTAAATTAAATATATCATGAAAATTTATATCCGCATTAGATATTTCGATTAGAACTATTTTTATGCTGACGATATTGGCCAGACTTATGATATAATTTCATACAAGAATTTTTAAGCATGTAAGTTTGGCATGCGAGTTGCAGCTAGTTCATCAGCTAATGAAACATTTCACATCAAATGTATTCTTATAGGACTTTCAAGGTATCAGTTTTTAACTTAGACACATTTCGTAGCTGTTAATGGAACATACTTTTTAGCGAGTGGGTTATCAAATTTTGTAGCAACCATTATGATATATGAAAAAACTAAATCGGGTTTGGTTACACAACTAACTTTGAAGATAGTTGATAAGAGGCATTTATTACTAAGATTAGAAGATAACATCAATAAGATGATGAGGAGATAAAATTTTATCAAAATAATTTAAAAGAAAAATGAATGGTTAGATGACGATTTGTCCTTTAACAATCCTAAAACAAAAAAAAGTAGAAGATTTATGTTAAATAGGTTCAAGATCACATGTAGAATCCAACATGGATTAAAGGAGATTGGCCCCCAAATATTTGAGACGACTGATTTTGTAGCAATCATTATGATACTTTGAAAAGTTGAAATTAGATTTGATCGTACAAGCAGGTTTTACTTTTGGTCCGGAAGGCAGTACACCCCGATAACACGGGATACAATGAAGGGATAAAAGGACATATTTTGTCTCAGAAGAAGAAAAAATGCATAAACCAATAATAAATTAAAACAATTAGGGTTAATAATGAAAGAGAAACTTAACTTTCATTGCATTGTTATAAATTCAAAAATAGTACACCAATACAAAATGGATACTACAAGCAAAGGAAATATCAAATAAAACAAATGATAGGAAAGAAACTACCAACAACTACAACAACAACAACAACATCAAGCCTTTCTCCCACTACGTGGAGTCAGCTACATGAATCCTTTTTCGCCATTGTGTCCGGTTAAAAGTCAAATTCTCATTTAAATCTAATAAAGAAAGATCATTTCTAATATTTTCTAATCAATTTTTTTTAGGTCTACCTCTACCTTTCTTAACATAAGTCAAATCTAATACCTCAACTTTCCTAACTGGGTCATCCGAAGGCCTCTGTTTAATGTGACCAAATCATCTAAGGCGAC